CTACAATCGATTGTATATGTTTAAGTGCAGGCTGAAAATTTTTTTTGTTTTTCAACTTGAAAATGACCGTCGAACGGTCGAAACTTCGTTGTTTTTTAACGTTAACTTTTATGGTGAAACACGTTTAAATATGTGGTCAATTGATACTGAGTACGCTTCACGTAATTTGATGAGAAATTATTTTCTTCCTTCTGTTGATAACGTTTGGGTACATTTTTCGAATGATTTTTGGTAATATAAAGAAACCTGGGACTCATTAAATGTTTCAGGAATCCCGTGATATACAATGTTAGCATATACTAAAACAGTGGATAGCGTTGAAGGCGGGCTCTGATTGGCTTCGCGGCTTGGTAAATATCCACCACTAACCACCTCCACTTTGGTGAATAGTTGTTAACTATGTCCTACATTCGTTTACATTCGTCAATTTTCGGAATTTGTTAGGTATATTTTATACATTCATGAAGACTTGCAGATCTGCTCCTACCCTCACATGTAAAGGAAGGTGAACTGAAAGGAATCTTGAAACGAACCTTTAATTTAGTAATAATTCTTCGTACACGTACACGTTTTCTGTAATGCCTTTGTGTTGTCGCTAAATATATGTCAGTATCAAAGTAGATACCTGTCGTAACTCTCGTCATTGTTTCACAGTAGCAAAGATCAACTAAAAAATATACAGCTGAGCTAATTAATTACGCGCGAAATGAACCGAGGAAATCTGGGGGTCGAATGTAAACAAACAGATTTATCCTACATTTTCGAAAATCATTTAAAAGTTGTGAATTGTAAGAACTGTATTCATTCAATTCCATAACAGAAACTTGCTAAACATGGTTGACTACTATTTACAATTGCAAGTCGAAAGGGAAACGCGTTGATGCATGCATCTTCAACAAACAACTAACTAAATAATTATAATACATTGACTTTGATCATGCCTGAGACGCTTTAATGAAATTTTTAATGAACTTACCATAAACTGCGCTTCATAAATTGAGTTTGTCTGACATCATGGTCAAACAAGAGGTAATAATCGTTATTGTTCACTACCCGCTTGACTTAGCGTCAAGAGTTCTACCGCTTTGGAATAAAATACAACTCGAGACCGAAGTAAGAGGAGTTAGAGGGGAAAATTAATAAGCGATTTATTTGCATTACGTTTAGGAAAGCTTAATACTTCTGGTCACTCTCAGGTCAGCTCCAAAATTTCAGTTTGGATCAGTTTACTGACCACGTGACAGGCGATCAGTGACCCATTGAGCTGTAAAGCTAAGCTGGGTGCGTATTTCGCCGGAATAGAATCGTGCATTTCAAAAGCTAGAAATAATACTGTGTTGAATAATGCTGAATATTCCTTCAGCTGAATGAAAGTCTCTTCAACTTAATTTGTGGCTTGGAAGAATACGGTCGCAACTCATTCATTCTATTGTGGTGCAAAGAAAATTGTTCAGGAGTTTAGAATCACTGAGTGACAGCTGAAGTATAACAGCTCCGCTGTAACTGATCTATATCAAAACCATAACTTCCCTTCTCGTCACCCTATCTTCTACCCATGTAAACTGTTATGGGCTGCATGTGACTTCTACTCAGTACTATTGACGGTTTGCATTCGACCGTTGTTTTCGAACGTTACCTCATTCCTATACTCAGCCAAGAATATTTGCATGAGGTTATATTTTCAGTTTGACCTTTGCCACTCTCAGCGTTGTGGGAGAATTGATAGAAATATTGATGAGCTGATGAGCATTGTCAACGTGACTTCTTGGCAAGGACATTAAGTTGGGAAAGAACGTGCCTGTCAGATAAATCAGTTACCATTGTCAGAATGAAATGTCGTTAGAAACTGAAGTTAAGCGGGTTACAGGAACTCTTTCAGTTTACAATTTCCTTTCCGGTCGGGGGGAAAGTAAAAACAAACGCTCGCTTGCTCGCTTGGACAGTTAAACATTTCCATGTAAATTCTTTATTAAATCGATGTTGTGGAGACCAAAAGTGGACATCCTTAATCAAAGCGGATCACACATGAAAGCATACTAACATTTTCCGCGCTACAGCTCACTTTCCTTTGAGGCTAAAGGCAAAGTAAAAGCAAACTATAGATCACCTCACGTTTATGGGAATGTAGTACGTGCTTGCGCGATCGAGGAAGACCTGCTTGATTATTTAAAGCATCCAACAGTTTCAAAACTGCAGTTGAATCCAACTACGACGAGAGGAAACTTCGATTACTTGAGGGGCGCAGAACGTTTTGAAAATTTACTAGAAATCATGGTAATTTTATCAGTGTTGATAGTACAGTTCAATTTTAGATGACCTTATCATGATCCGTTTGTTTATTTCTTCTTATTTTTCAGGCCTTCCGTTATGATTTGGTTTTATTACTTGCTTCTTTCACCATCCTGAATTTTAAGGAAGCTCAAGGTAAATCAAAAATTATTTTTTCTGATCATGATTTGATTAAAAATTCAAATTTTATGGTGAAAGATTTTATGTTAGTTTATATAACTCAAGATGTAGTAGTACACTCTATAACTAGAACCGGAGCTAAGTTTGCAAGCACTTTTTTTAATTCTGGCTAAGGTAAACACACAGCGTCATGATCGTGTATGTTTGGCGATTGAATTTTAGGTAACTGCTATAAAACATGGAGCAGGTGCTCGAGATGGAGTAGCTGGGGCACTGGAAGATTGTGGAAGAGCTGCAATGATCGGTAAACATTGATTCACGTATTCTTAGTGTGGAACTTATCATCGTAAGCAGGTCTGGCTATACCTGGCCAGAAATCTAAACAATAAGCTAGTCAGAAAAAAAAAGTGACCACAAGTACTGCAGTAGAATCATGATCAAAGAAAACAACAAAAGCTACTGAGAAAACAAAAAATTAACAAATCGTCAATTTTAAGCCAAGTTTAACGAAGCGAGAATACGGAGAAGTACAATAAACACTAGTCATACAGAGTAAAGTTAGCTGCCCATTGATGTTACTGAGCCAACCGGTGTATGTTTTCAGCGATCGTAGTCCTAAAATTGGGCTGTACTACAAGTTTTGTAGATTGTAGTAACGGGTTTCATTTCAATTCGCAGCTGCATTGAGTTGGGTTACACTGGTGGAAGTTGTCAGCTCTGTCCTAGCACTTGTTGGATGACCAAAAAAGCTTACCAGTGCAGATGTTTTGGAACTGGATCCTGTTAAAACCGCCTTATGGCTGGTTGGAAACAACAACAACAAGAATTTCAAACATTGCAGCTTTTAAACAAATAAAGATGATCTGCGTTTGGTGTTTGATTTTAAAAGCTTCCAAAGCGTGGAGTGGAGTATAATATAGCCATGTGAATCTTGTTTATGAATAAAGTGCTTTGTCACATCGCGAGTTCAGCGTAACTCCTGATTTCTTCCTTATCCCTCAC